TTAGTTTTCGGTAAATATTTGTGCATATTAATCACTAATTAACCAATTTCCAACTTTCACACTGATATCCCAGATACTAATTATCACATATCAATGAATGTTTGTACATGGATGCTGTAGGACAATAGACAGACCTGGATAATTGTGGGTTAAAATCTGTACATATTAATTACCTAATTTGCATAATTAACCAATTTTAAGCTTTCACACTGATATCTAAAGTACTAATTATTCCATTTCAATGGTACAAAGATGCTCTAGAACAATGTACAAACCTAATTAGTTTGGGGTAAAAATCAGTTCATATTAATTCCCTAATTAGCATAATAATTCATAATTTTTTGGTTCTAATCACATTTCAATTAAACTTGGTACATAGATGATTTGTTACATTGCGCAGACCTCATTAGTTTTACACTCATATCTGTTCATAATAATTTTCTGATTTGCATAATTAGTTTTCAGCTATTAAAGTAATTTCAAATTATACTTAATGTGTCTCCAATACTCTCAGCACATGGGAGTTCTTTCTAAGCTTTCTTTGATTTCTTTTTTGGTTGCACTATTTACACTGCAGGTCTTTACAGAAACCTCCATTGAACCAAATTTCAAACCACACACCCACCAATGTATTCCCTCGGTAGTAGGCGCAATGTGTTAAACGCAAGTTGTTGTTTTTTTTTAATATTTTTGTGACAGTTTCGGACATTGAATTTCAGTGTTGTCTTTTTTTTTTATGTGCAATTTACAAGTGCCAGTGCTGAAATATTGAACATTTTGCCACAAAGCCCATATTCCAGCAGTTTGGGACAAAGTGACAGTCTATAAGCATCTTCATATCACAGTGGCAGTATGGAGATCCTTAAAATCCAGCAAGAAGAGTTGGGTTACTGTAATGATCGAAATTCTAAAATAAAAATATAAAATTACCAAACTAAGTTTTACAAAAAAACACCCTTTAAAATTGATCAAAATGTGTTTTTTGAATAGTTTACAATTGGTTTCTATGGCAGAAACCATCATATTTCCCAATTTTGTTCGGTGATCTTTGTTAAAGATTTGTACCGGTACTGTTATGCGAGCTGCATAGGGCAGTCATGAAAAATTGGAAGTCAAATTATCAATGGAATAATGTGTTTAAAAAGGTAATGTAAATAGGTATTTCAATTAATTTTACACCAAGTATCAAAGCAATCAGACTTAGTTTTCAAGAAGTCGAAAAAGTAAAAAGTTGGCGCGAATGTCAACGATCAATCACTTATTATAAGTTCGCTCAACAAATTCAACATAAAATTTTTACAATACATGCATCATCAAAGTGAGGTCAATTGCATGTTCCATTTTATGCAAGGTAGTGTTCAGCACCATCAATGAGGTTCGTCAATCAAAGCGCACAGTCAATGCTGACAAGCCACATCAACCCAGCGACTGCTCAGATTTTCACACACTCCCACCTTATCATACGCTGTAATATTCAATTACATTTCTAGTTTTCCATAACTCTTGATTTAATACACGCATGTGGTATCAGTGTAGCACAATACCTGAAAAGATTATTTAAAGTATAGCGCCCTCTAGTGATGATCATTGTATTTAGCAGTTTTTGTGTCTGCTGCCATCTAGTGATTGTTATCCACTTTTAACAAATGTGTGCTACATATGAAGTAGCATTTCATAGTGTCAGACAAAATCATTTTAGGGTATAATTAGGTACCTACAATAATCTTTTGGATTAGAATTTGTTTACACTTCATACAAGGCCGGGATGCAAGGACTATGAAAAGAGAAACACATTTCCCTATATTGTATGCATTAACATTCTACATACGTCACTTTTTATACACACAAGTTTGTTATAAAAACATCAAACTTTACAACTGGATAAGAAAGAACACTTTCACAGACAATTTGTAAAAAAAAGTTTTGTCTTGGTAGATATTGGTTTTCAAAATTGATTTATTTTTAAGTTTAAATTGAAGAAGAAAAAACGTAGATGCACAAACAATCATATATTCCAGTTTTCCTCAAAAAAAACAAACATTAAATGTAAATGAAGAAGTAAGACATTCATCTGTCTTGACAAATAATTTTATAAATCATGATTATGTTTTTACCATAGTATTTCACAAAATTGCTATTGAAGAAGATTCATGCTTGAAACAACTGTTCCAAATGATAATTCATCATCCGTGATGCAATTGTGTCTATGGATATACTAAAATATATCACACATTGAGATATCACAATATATCATAGTGTGGAGATAGCACAATATATCACACATTGAGATATCACAATATATCATAGTGTGGAGATAGCACAATATACCATAGTGTGAAGATAGCACAATATATCACACATTGAGATATCACAATATATCATAGTGTGGAGATAGCACAATATATCACACATTGAGATATCACAATATATCATAGTGTGGAGATAGCACAATATATCACACATTGAGATATCACAATATATCATAGTGTGGAGATAGCACAATATATCACACATTGAGATATCACAATATATCATAGTGTGGAGATAGCACAATATATCATAGTGGTGAGATAGCACAATATATCACAGTGTGAAGATAGCACAATATATCACAGTGTGGAGAGATCACGATATATGATAGTGTGGAGAGATCACGATTTACAACAGTGTGGAGAGATCACGATATATCACAGTGTGGGAGAGATCACGATATATGATAGTGTGGAGAGATCACGATTTACAACAGTGTGGAGAGATCACGATATATCACAGTGTGGGAGAGATCACGATATTTCATAGTGTGGAGAGATCACGATTTACAACAGTGTGGAGAGATCACGATTTACAACAGTGTGGAGAGATCACGATATATCAGTGTGGAGATATCATGATACATCACAGTGGGGAGATGTATATAACAGTGTGGAGAAATCAAAATATATCACTGGAGTTATCAAATCAGTGTGGAGGTATCACATATCAGTGTGGAGTATGAATATATCACAATATGTCACAGTGTGAAGATATGACAATCTTGAGATATCACAATATATCCTACATATGGCAGTTCAGCATAATAAATATTCATTCTATGCAATAACAATATCAGTAATCTGACATTTGATATTAAGACAATTTCAAAATATTTCAAATTTTGGTGGTTTTACACTATATTTCATAAAGGTTACATATTTGAGCATTTCTGGTTTTAGTAGCATTTCTAATTCTTCCAACTTCAACTTCAACTTATCCACGCATAGCAAATTTTTTTCACCCATGTCTTGTGTTTATTTCTCACAAAACTCTAAAATTAACAATCATTTTTTGAATGCATCCTAGAACCTTAAATATTGAAAATATATTGATGACTCCAAAAGTAATCAGCGTTTATGATCACATAAGCAAATTAAAAACTGATATGCCTTGAAAACAACTTCACAAATTATCATTTCCTGTCATATTGTGTGTGTGTAAAAGCTGTTCAGCATAATATGGAATGAAATTGTGTAGTAATTTTCATTTGTTCTGAAAAATAAACAAATAAAAATTACTACTCGTTTGATAAATTGTATGGTCACAGGTGATATTTGTTGACACCAAAAGATTTATTTTCTCCAATGCATCGTCACCTGGTACTGCCACAACTGCTTGCCAATTTACTGCTGAGATGTGTAAAGCCTGCTGATACAGGTATCAATATTTATTAAAAATGTTTACAATGTGTTTTGATATGTAAATACAATTTTGAAGTAATGCAATGTTAAACCAAACTGAAACCAGTCAGCCACTGAATCAGAAGCGGACTGATAATGCCAAGGTGTCATCTTCAATTAAGACGATGAAATGAAAAAATGTGAGTATTAGTGTGTACATTGGTACCAAGATTGAATCTAATCCACCCATACGTGACCAAGATCTGGTTCCATAATTTTTAGCACAAAAATGGCAGCCATTCGGTAATCTCGAAAAAGATGGACATGCATATGCATTTCAAGAAGTCATATATGTGAAGTTTGAATGTGATCGATCCAGACATGTTTGACAAGTGGTCAATCCTGAAGTCCATCGGAACAGGACTAATAAAGGTGTGATAGGTTTCGTGCTTAGAGTTCTTGAGTACAGCGATGCAAGAAAACAAGTCCTGATTAATCACTGTCACTACCAGATTCACTCAACTGAAGATCTTGGCCTGTAAGACAGACGAAATGAAATTCATTATAAACAATTGTCGATATACATGGGTCTGTAAAAAACTAGGATAATAAGGTCTTCTAATTTGCAAACAAACAGCCTCTCGGCTGAGATAGCTCCGCTGTTAGCAATGCACATTTCAATTAAAGAACAGAAGATATCATTAGAAAATGAACAAGATGCATAGTATCAATGCTATGGGACTTGCTGTTTTCAACAAGAATTCAAAAATATCATTTTTCACCATAAATGATTGTGGTTTTTAACAAAAAGTCAAAAATATTACTTTTTACCAAAAATGACAAAAATATTCATCAAAATTAGAGAATTGAAGATATCATCATGAAATTAACAAATTTGAGAGTGGTCCACATGTACTACATATATATGTAATATCAAAGCAATTGGACTTGTGGCTTTTAACAAGAAGTCAAAAATATAACTTTTTACTAAAAATGACAAAAATATTCACCAAAATTAGAGAATTAAAGACATCACTACAAAATGAACAAATCTTAGAGAGGTCCACATGTAGTACCTATATATGTAACATCAAAGCAATTGGACTTGCGGTTTTTAACACGAAGTCGAAAATATAATTTTTTACCAAAAATGACAAAAATATTCACCAAAATTAGAGAATTGATGATATCATTACAAAATGAACAAATCTCAGAGAGGTCCACATGTAGTACCTTTATATGTAATATCAAACCAATTGGACTTGCGGTTTTTAACAAGAAGTCGAAAATATCACTTTTTACCAAAAATGACAAAAATATTCACTAAAATTAGAGAATTGAAGATATGATCATGAAATGAACAAATCTGAGAGAGGTCTACCCAAGGCACAGGTACACCAAGTATCAAAGCATTCAGGCTTGTAGTTTTCAAGAAGAAGTCGAAAAAGTAAAACATTGACACGGACGATGGACGACGATGGATGCAATCACTTATATGATAAGCTCCGCTCGACAAAGTCGACAGCAGAGCTAATAAAAATTGTACACACAAACACAAACAGATAAATGGTACATGAAACACATGATTTAAATGGATGATCACAGCAATCACCTCACTACTGTAGGCATGAAGTCTGAAGGAGCTCCTGAACTAAGTATGTGGTACAAAATGTTGGTGGGGGGGGGGGGGGTCTGCAAGTTAATTAATGAGATTAATGGTAGACATTTTTCTGAGCATACAAGCTAATAGCAAATCTGGATACGAAATGTGTATATGGTCTATTAGTAAAATTTTAATGTACTGTAAAATACTTTATTTTCACCTACAATTTATTTTTGCTGAAGGGATGATTCAGTGAAAATAAAATCCAGCGAATAAACCTTTTTTTCCTATATTTTACATACAACTCATCAAAAACCAGTAAAACTAAATTTGATACAAAACACCTAAAAAGACTTTTCATTGAAAATTAATTCCAGCTATTTTACATTAAATACAATTTTTGGTGCACTTCTATCAAAGAGTGAATAGAGAGGAAATCATGAATCACATGAATGTTACATTCAATATATAATATATATAACTCACATAGTTGATTGAACTCGGATGATGTCCTATGTTTTTTCTGTTCACTACCACCTGTCATTGTACTGTGAATGGGTGAATGAGTTACTGCAATAAATAATATGTTTTGTATTCATGGATAAACAAACAAGTTTGACTTGTCAGTACATGTATGTATGTAAGTTATGTACACAAAAACAGATTATCATCGTGTGGCATCTTGATTTGACCTCACTTTTACGCAATCTGTACTTAGAGGTAGGGTAAAACTAACCTCTTTGTAACATTTTAATTCAATTGTACTGAAAATCAATTGAAACTAAGGATACGATGAAAATGAAGATTTCTGTAAAATACTTTATTTTCGCTTGGAATTAATTTTCGCTATTTTGCTGAGGAGATTCAGTGAAAATAAAATCCAGCGAATATACCTTTTTCCTATATTTTTACATTCAACTCATCAAAAATCAGTGAAAATAAATTTCATACAAAACACTCAAAAAGCCTTTTCAGCGAAAATTAATTCCAGCTAAAATAAAGTATTTTACAGTATATTACATTCCAATTTTTAACTTTTGGTTTCTGGTTTTGGATTTGGATTCATTTAGGGGTTTTAGAATTACTTACTTTCTAACCCTATCATACATGTATATCATTGATATGATATCTCTAAATCAATGTGTTAATCGGTGATACCTGACGCAAACAGAAAGCAATGACATACCTTTTTTTCTTTTACACTGATCATCATTAAAATCATCATCATCCTCACTTGAGCTATCATCACTCGAGTCTCCACTAGAAGAGTCACTGCTATCACTGCTACTCATTATCAAATCTTCTGCTATTGTAGGCGATGGGTGGCTAGCTGAACCTAACGAAGACAGCGATGATGATACATGATGAGGTGCAGGTGGTGATGGTATAGATGGAGGTCCAATTGAAAACGGAGATAAATCTATAAGAAAAATATAAATATATTTACTGACGACACAAAACAGTACATATACAATTCTACATGACCTATAAAGGTCACACATCCTGGTACTTTGAGAAGGTATGACAGATTTAGTGCTGGAACAAATTATGAACTTCCCATAGAAAAATATTCAATGGAACCAATTTGTTATCACCAAAAACAGATTGAAATTTGCAAAGTACAGGAACAATGAATGAGTGACATGTACATGAACTGCAGATAATCCAGGATATTGTTCGCTGGAAAGCGCCCTCTAGTGGCATATCATTACAACAGACAAGAGTGCAACTGAAAAAAATTGAAAATTTCAATAGTAATTATTCAACACTGAATTGTGCATTTTTTCTGTTAATACTTATTGGACATTGGTTTAATACCAATTCATGTTTTAATGTCAACTAACAGATTTAGTTAAGAGATACATACTTTTAATTATTAAGTCAAAATTATAATGTCATACAAACAATGCCATTTTTTGTTTGGCCATTTTTATAAAATTTACTTTAGTTTTATTGTAATCAAAGGTTTTGACTCACTTTTAAAATACAACCATTTAGGATTTTTAATAACTAACTACAGGGGTCTAAATAAAGGACTTAACATTTCGGATTTTTTTTTACAGTACGCAAGTATTCTTTTAATTACTGGTAAACCATATTCTGGTTATATTCCAACGGATAGAAATGTGAGGATGATTTGATGAAGTCACTTTTTTTGAAATTCATTGGTACATTGCTGTAAACTACTTTAATTTAGTTTTCATGAATTTTGAAAAATTTGTGAACACAAATGCCATCAAATCAGAACATCAGTAAAATGCATTTCTGCAAATTTGCCAAAGCAGGGATTTACAGTAACTGCAAATTGTGGACAAAATGACAAATTGAGTACACTACTTGTAAAGTAACAGACGCAAATAATCTGATCAAGACTTGCCTTTCTCTGCATCTTGTACCACAGCTGGTGGTGTGGGTTCTTTTTTCCCTTTTGGAGGTGATAAAGATGAAGATTTTTGTTTATTATGATCTACCGGTGTATGAGGTCTGTTTGCTGATGCTTTACTACTGCCCTCCAGTCTATTAAATAATAATAATACATCAACAATAAAGTGTCACCAGTATAACATATATGGTTAAAACTCACCATGTTGTGAGAGTTTATTGACAATTATACTCAATGAGGAAATGTCTATGTACATATCATTAGTAGCAAACAATGTATATGGTTATGTAACTGATGGATGTGTGACCATGGCCAAAGTCTTACTTTAATGATCCACCATACAATAAAGACAATTTGTAATTTATGAGCATTTTTATTAACCTTCTTCTTATCAACCCATTGTACTTTTACATTGACTTGACCACATACGGGTTGGAAATGTGCTTCTGAATAGAACAAATACAATATTTGGACAAACATATTTTTATTGGAACATTAGCTAAAATTTGATCAATTAGAATCATAAATAAGTCATAAATAATTTCACAACATAATTGTCATTAATCAATCAGATCAAAATTAAATAACATTAAATGAGGAAAGAATTCGAAAAATGCTATGGTTGGATACTAATTGTGAATTTTGATGACAAATAACAATTTAGAATACTTTGCGATGACACTCAAGGTTGTTTTATGCTATTCAAATTAAGTATTGACTGTACAGAACAAAGTTCATCAAATAACACACAGTCAAAGAAGATATGACGCTGGTGTAGATATACAACTTAATAAAAAGGTCATGAAATGTCATTCTAGAGCTATTATTGTACTTTGGGAGAGGGGTTAGAAGATTATAAGATATTTTGGCAATGTGACAAAATAAAAAAATATGTTAGTTGCCTAAAATTGTATCAATTATTTTGTACAGTACAGAAACAAGGCCGGGGGGTGCTGTTTGCGGGTTATAAACTGAACATACCGTTGTTTCTTCAACTGTATACAACTGGAGAGTCTTTCTAGTGTAATCTCACCAGTCTTGTTATCAATTATCAGTACGCATTCTTTCTGTACAGGCTTTTTAGGGCCTTTGTAAACAAATTCTGCTCCAGTTCCCTCAATATGAGGCACTGTCACCTTGATACCATTTCCTTTGTATACTTCTAATGAGGCATCCTTTGTTGTATCCACAGAGGCTGGTTTGAAATCATCTGTAATACCATACACAGTAAAGTCAAATAAACATGGTAGGATTGGTTTCTTGTCAAACCCACAAGATAAGTGATATGATGACATCATTTAATGCGCTACAGTCCTTGGACTATGCGTGTTAAAATTTCATAAACAATGTCTTTATATGCATTATAAACGTTGCTATGAATCCCATATAGAACAGGACGTGATGTGATGACTGTAGTACTGAACAAAATTAACCCGAACCTTGATAACGTATTTGTTCTATTAGAAGCATATCTCCAATAGGAGTGCACATAAACTAAAAATAACATTTGTTGTAATTCTGAATAATTAAAATAAACTTATTTTGTCTTATTTTATTTTTAAATACCTCAGTCTGTAATTTAGCTATTAAAAACAGGCAATATTAGAGCAAATATGGTAAACGATAAATATTAAAGTAAACCAGAATTGCTCTAATAGAAGAATATATATCCATTTATTTCCTACAATATTAGTGTTTTTATGTTTCAGAGGATAAATACACTGTTGCAACATGTACATGTATCTATCCATAATCAGTTGAAACAGGTGTCAACAAGGAATTATGTATATTTTTAAACACACCTGTTCTAAATGTATATTGCTTTTATATTTACTACATGTTGAAGCAAGTGAGTTTAATAATACTATTCAGTTTTCCAAATGTGCTACTTTTACTTATCCCTGGCGATAGGACTACCCTTATACCCTTATAGTGTCAAGCACAGCGTAGTCAATCGGTCACACATGTACATAACTAAACAATGCTGGCTATAAATAATTTATATTTAGTGCAATGCAAGACCTTAATGGGTCAACAGTCTTTTCAATATAGCAGCACAGCTTTGAACATGAAAATTGAAAAATCATACCAAAAACACATAATCCAGTAGTAAGAGTAAATATACATAATAATATTTAAAAAATATTTATTACTGCATACAACCAAGCACAGAAAATCGTTCAACCTTATCTCTACATCTACCTTTAACTATGCAAATTATGTCAGTTGATAGGACCGATTTCGATCCAACTCGCACCATACCAACTCGCACCAGACCAACTCGCACCAAGGCCAACTCGCACCAGACACAACTCGCACCAATGCCAACTCGCACCACGATCATATTTCTAAGCATTTGTGTGGTTCGCTTTGTCCCTTTGTTGCTAGGGACGTTTCTTGGATAATAAAAAATTACCTAAAGTAGGGTCTGCTTAGTTAATCAGCGACAACTGGTACAACCGCCTATGAGTGGGAAGCGAACGTATCGACGACTGACTAACCATGCCGACCCTACTGTAGGTCATTTTTAAACTCAAAGAAAACGGACTGGCGATTTCCGGTAAAGAACTGCATTTATATCGAATTAATCACAATCAAAAGTGAAACTGACTGAAACCCGACAAGAAGTCCGCCATCGGGGCGCTGATGGAGTGCGTGATGGCGGGGGTCGACAACAGACAATGGAAGACTACTGTGGTACATTCAAAAACTAGTAACATGTTTTTTCAATGTATGTGTCTTAACGAGCCAAATAATACACGATAGAAATTGCATAACATCGGAGTTCTTGAAAATTATTAACGGCGAAATAATATACGATAGAAATTACATAACATCGGAGTTCTTGAAATTATTAACGGTGAAATAATATACGATAGAAATTACATAACATCGGATTTCTTGAAATTATTAACGGCGAAATAATATACGATAGAAATTACACTACATCGGAGTTCTTGAAATTATTAACGGCGAAATAATATACGATAGAAATTACGCTACATCGGAGTTCTTGACAAATACTAACGGCGAAATAATATACGATAGAAATTACGCTACATCGGAGTTCTTGACAAATACTAACAGCGAAATAATATACGATAGAAATTACATAACATCGGAGTTCTTGAAATCATTAACAGCAAAATAATATACGATAGAAATTACATAACATCGGAGTTCTTGAAATTATTAACGGCAAAATAATATACGATAGAAATTACATAACATCGGAGTTCTTGAAATTATTAACGGCGAAATAATATATGATAGAAATTACACAACATCGGAGTTCTTGAAATTATTAATGGCAAAATAATATACGGTAGAAATTACACTACATTGGAGTTCTTGACAAATACTAACTGCAAAATAATATACGATAGAAATTACATAACATCGGAGTTCTTGAAATTATTAAAATGTCGGCACGTAACGTGAACGTACCAAGTGAGATTTATACACAGGAATTGATACGGACAATAGTTGTACAAATATAGATTTGGGGGGGGGGTCCATTCTTGGAGAACATGTTGACATATATACTTACTGATGGATTGAACTGCTGTTGTTCAAATGTCTGTTAAATAATTTTTGTTCAGTCTGTACTTAATATTTATTAAAAATCACGTGTACGTGTGCATTTTTTTGTACGTTGTGAACGGAGGATTAACATTATCCCCAAGGCCGTCGCCTTTAAAAAACAGATCCATTTCATTAAATAAGCTTGGCCCCAAACTCGTGATCTTTTGTGATGTCTGTAAATAGAATATGACAAATGCTTATCATAAGTAAACGTGACACCACTAGCGATAACTGACAAAGGAAGACCGGTTGCTGACACCACACACTCTTACCAGTATAAACATGCTAGCGTGGTGCTTTGTCGCAGGGAACAATGCAAGTCTTATTATGCGTCACTCTCCCGACAAGCGAAGTACTAGTAATGGAAAGATCACACGTAGAACAATGACTAACACTGCGTTTAATAGAACGGAATATCACACCAGCAAGTTCAAATACTTACACATAGAACAATGACTTACGTTGTATATAGTTCTGAACGCATCTCATTATCATGGCGGCAAGAGCAATTACTCACAGGTTGCACGGTAGTTTACTCTGCTGATTTCCTACTCTGCTTGTAGTATACGAGTGTATGAAAACGGAGTAAATTCTCTGATACAACATTCATGATTACTAGACAGTTTCATATCGTGGATAGGCTATTCAAAGCTTCACGTTCGTCCACCCAATCGGCCTCATGCCGATCATGAAAAATACGAATTAAGCTTGCAACGCTGTATAATAATTGCGTATCCCTATTGGGATTTTGACTAAAATGCAATACAGATGTGGATAAAAACAAACAATTAAAATGAGAATAAAAATACACACAATCAAACAAGCAAATAAAAGTAGAAAAAAAATGTAATTTGGAATCTTTTCCATATTTGTGTTGGTGAATGTTTGGTTTACTAATGCATGTACATGACCTTATCTTGAGTTAGCTGACTATATTGTTTTCAGTTTTACCTCTCTTGTTTTGAAACAGTTTTCTTTGTATTTTGCTATTTCTATTATTGTTTTTGCATCTTTATTATTTAAAAAATATATGTATGTGTTAATGTGTTTATTGAACATTGAAGTCTATTCCCTACTTGAATTCGGATTGGTCACAAGAGATCCTGGCACCACAATACGTACGAG